CCTTCCTTTCACTCCTCTTTGTCTACTCCACTGATCTTTCTTCTATTTTTTTAATCTCCTCATATTATTTTGGATTAGCTTTCACATATCAGAGAAAATATTCAACTCTTGACTTTTTGCCACTGGCTTATTTCACTTAGCATGATAATCTCCAGTTCCATCCATTATCCAGCAAATGCCATAAAGTCATTCTGCTTTATGGCAGAGTAATATCCCATTGTGTGTATATACCACATTTTCTTATCCAATCATCTGTTGAGGGGCACCTAGGTTGGCTCCATAGCTTAGTTATTGTGAATTGAGCTGCTATAAACATTGATGTGAATGTGTCACTCTTGTATACCGATTTTAAATCCTTTGGATATATATGGAGGAGTGGGATAACTTGGTCAAATGGTGGTTCCATTCCTAGTTTTTTGAGGAATCTCCATATTGCTTTCCAGAGTGACATGCAACCTTTTTTAAGGTAACACAGGAATGAAGCTATCATGTTCAAACACATTTGGGGAAATACTGATCTAAGACAATATAACTATTGTATAGTAGTCAAAACAGGACCAAAGACACACATGACTTCCCTAATGAAGATGAAGTAGTTAGCTGCCTGGGATTAAAATACAGCTCCCCCATGTCTGAATCCAGTGTCTTTATGCTTGACTTAGATGTCTGTTATTTTTCCCCCTCATCTACTTCCCTTTGAGCAAAACATGGAATAATTTTCTATAAAAGGTATAAAGTTCTTTCACTGACAATTAATTTTCCTCAAATGTCAAGCAGAGGTTATAGAAAAAAGGAATGCAAGATTTTAAACCTTAAATTACAATATGACAACTTGACAACCAACAACTAATGCTACCCTTGTAGAAAAGACAAATGATCCTAGATTCAAAGTTTCTGGTCTTATGCTAAAAGAGGTACAGAAGATCACATTTCTGTAATATACTTGGCTGTCTGTATCACCTTGCAAAAACCAGTGTGTAAAAATACATGAAAGAGTTAGAACATCTTCAATGATGTTAATTTTAGACCATCTGTCCTATGAAATTCAAGGCCAAGAGATAATTTTTTTTTTTTTAGTCGGAGACTACAACATTAAGCTCTGGTTGTAACACTAAGCTTCTGGTACAATACACAAAAATCAGACATCACTGTCATCTCACAAAGCAAAACAAAATTCTAGAGTCAAATAGCAAAGGAAGTTTATGAAAAAAATATTATTTTGGTAAAGAAAGAATTTATATCTTTATATATATCTTCATTTATATCTTTATAACCAATGAAACAGAGTGTTCTGACATTATAATCATTTTTTTTGAAATAGTAAGTGGCTTATTGCAAAGGTAACAGCATAATTTTTCCTTATTGTAGAATAAATGCAAAGGTCAGATGTTACAAAATTGCTTAGGTTTTAAAAGTAGAGAATATGATGGTAAGGAATAGAAAAAAGTTTAAAGTGTAAACTAATTATAGAAGGTAAATGAAGGTGTGATAAAATATGTCGTAAAAATAAAGGAAAATATGTAAAACATCTTAAAAGATTGAAAAGTGGAGAAGTAGCAATACAAAACTCTTGCAAATGTGTAAAAAGACAGTCCTTATTTTTCTGTTTCCAAGGGACAGAGCTATGAAAATTATAAGGAATATATATTCCAACAACAATTTTAAGGAGAAAAAAATTCCCAGGGCTATAAGTTAGCACCTAATGGATGACTGAAGAGTATTAAGTTCTTCATCCTCAGAGGGCAAGGGACCACTTTGTAAAGTAGCTTTTCTGCAGGATTCTCATGTACCAAATGAGGGTTGAAATAAGATGACATTTAAGATGAGTAGGTACATTTCAATCCTGAGATATAAGAAGTCTTTAAAAAAAAGTGTCCAATATATATGATCTGATTCACTTGATATACAATATGATAGCTATGCTATTTGAGAAATTGAAGGGGTTATTACTAAGACTCCAAAAAAAAAAAGACTTCTTTCACTGTGGGGGAGATGCTGCAAGACTTCCTGAATTATGGGTACGCAGTCACAAAAGTCTAAGGAAATTAATAGTTTCATTTTAGACCAGCGCACTTATAGAACTCGAGTGAATAACATACAGAGGAAATTTTCCTAAGAAGTGAGAGAAGGAAGTGGTGTAAATTGCTTTAGAAAGAACAGCATATTTAGAGAAAAATATGCAGAGTGTGGTACAGCTGGTAAATCATAGAGTCTAAATGGTTTGTACTTCCTTTGAGGGAAGAGTGTAGATGAGGAGGAAGAAAAAGAGGTTATGAATGTAGGTTAGTAAAGGAAAGAAGAGATGAAAAAGAATGACCAAAGGAGAACATTGATAAGTATTTGGGGTTGAAAAAAGAAAATTGGTCTTTTGAGTGGCTTCAGTGATTTTTTTCTCTATTATCTTTTTCTCATGGTCATTTGTCTTTCAGAATATTGTAAAATGAATCATTTTCTTTCATTTTCAGATTCAGCTTACCACTTGCCTTGGAAGTACTAATTATGTTTTCCTTACATAAGAGAGGAGAGATCTATTATTGTTGAAGGTTCATTTTTTTAAAACTATGCCTTAAATTCAAAACACTTATGAATTATGTCACAGCTATTTTTGAAATTTTTTTATCTACAATGAATATCATGAAAATTGTAATGGGAAAATAGCATGGTTCCTGAAAAATTCTTTGACAAATTTATTTGGAGATTTTTAAGAAAAGAATTTGAAAATAAAGCTAGATTCAAGCACAACTTCAAGAAATAAGTAAACAATATCTCACACGATTTTACAAAGCAGCATTTGAAGAAATATCAGAAGACTTGTCTAAAACTAAACTGTTATAGAACAATGAGTCAAAGGTGAAACAAGTCACTGCAACAGTCATTACATGAATGAATCTACCCTCTTCATTTTTCAATTTAGCCCTATGAAGAAGATGGTCATCAAAGGTCATTTTATTCCCAAGTTAATAGTTTAAGCAATAAAGTTTCTATTCTAGAAAGAAGTTGTTCAGGCCTTATACCGCAACAACAATTTGTCTAGTTCAGAATTGAAAGCTAACGACAACAAAAAGTTTTAGAATTTCTCAGGAATGAAAATGGTAGTGACTTCAAGTGGTAAAAACAAGCCCCAAACTCTGATTTGCAATTTTGAGTGAAGTTAATATTGGGCGTTTTATGCCCATTCAGTTTAACTAGATACTTTCTTACAATAGTTTTTTTCTGAATAGTGGCCATTGCCTAGACATGTTAGTGGGGTAGGCTCTACTTGTTAGAGGCATTAATGAATAATTGAATGACAAATAAAGGAAAAAAGGAAAGAACTGACTGATAAACCAAGGAAACAAATGCAAACCCCTTGTACAGAAAGCAGCATTGCGTGGTGGAGATGAATGTGGACTCAAGCCAGATGGCCTCAGCTGGATGTCCAGTTCTTTCTATCATTACCTATGTGACCATGGGCAAGTTAGTAAGGTTCTCTGCACCCCTGTTTCCTTTAGTTTATATAAAATGTGCTTTTGTGTGAAAGATATGTTACATGACCCCAAACACTTTAAAAGTATGTGAAATACAGTAACTACCAAATAAATGTTGGCTCTCAAGATACTATCAAAGACTTATCCAGATAATTCAATACAAAGGTCATTCACAACTATGAAATTCGCCTACTGGGATTATGTACAAGATCTACAGAGCCCAGGGAAATGGGCACAATGAATATAGAACTTTGGGTTTTTACCTCTAAAAGTTGTATATGTCATAGAAATCACTTTTATTTTGAGACTGTATAGACTCCCCATACACTTCTCAAGAAGTGGTTGGAGATCCCTACTCCTCGCAGACATATATTAGAAGCCCTGTTTTGCAAACACAGACCTATGACTAGATATGTTCATCTTGAGATCTATTTCAATATGAATTTTTAATTTTTGAATTTTCAATATTTGATTATTTATATTAAATAATTTTTTTATCACTGCTGTATCTAGTGTTTTCTATTTATGATTGCTTAAATTTTGCTTTAGTTTGTCTTATAATCCATAGCTCAGAAAGGGCAGCTTTGTGACAGTGGCAGTCATCGCCAGGACTCCTAAATGTGAGCATTTGGCAAACAAAATAGCTATAACCCTGATGAGAGGAGAGAGGAAGGGATCCATTCATACATCTGATGGAATTTAGATTACGAATTCTTGAAAATCATAGGCTGTTTCTACAGTGGTTGAAACATGGACATGCACATATCTGTAAACCAGATAATATTGTTTCCTTTGTTGTACTACCCGAAAGTAGCAGTTGCACTCACTAATAGGAAATGGATTATTTTGGAAAAATATCTACTATGTTTACCATACATTGCTGAGAAAATTGGTAAAAATTTAGAATACTGTTTTGAAAATATCAAAAAATCAAAAACAATTGTATGTGTACTTTTTTAAAAAAATATTATTTGTTGATGGACCTTTATTTATTTATATGTGGTGCTGAGAATTGAACCCTCATACATACTTAGGCAAGCATTGTACCACTGAGCCACAACCTCAGACTTTTATGTATATTTTTAGCTCTCTTCCCCTGAAATCTCCCTTCTCCTCTTTTCTGTTTCTTCACATGGTCACTACAATACTAAATTGTGTTCTTCCCTCCCAAATTCATGTGGAAGCTCTACCCGTCATTGTACTTGGTCTTTAGGAGGCGTTGAAGGTTAAATGAGTTAAAGATGGGGCCCTACTCTGATGGTACTTATAAGAAGAAGAAAAGAGGGACACCACTCTCTGTCATCTTGAGTACCTAGTAAAGGTCACATGAGGTTGCAGCTAGAACATGGCTTTCTAAACCAGAAGAGGGCTCTCTCCAGAAACCAGTTTGCAACCTTCAACTTCCCAGCCCTCAGAACTGTGAGAAAACAAATTTCTGTAGTTCAACAGAAATTTTTGTTATGGCAGCCTGAGTGGACTAAAATGGTCACACATGGAGAAACAAGAGCTTTATAAATATGCAGTTTTACTTACCATTAGTAGTCTGTCTCCTACTTGCAACCTTCCATCTTTTTGTGCAGCTCCACCATCTATAATTTTTGTCACATAAATGCTGTTGTCTCCAGGAATGTGCTGGTTCCCCACACCTCCTGCAATACTGAAGCCTAAACCTATAGGAAAAGAGCAGAAAATGGAAAACAAATGCAATTAGCCACATTTAAATAATTTTTTAAAAACAATAGATCTTTAATTAATTGTAACAGCAATATATAAAACAAGGATTATAATTCAATCAGTTTTGTTCTTTAACTATTTGAAGATTTTTTTTTTGGGGGGGGGTGGTACTAGGGATTGAACCCAGGGCCAAGTGCATGTGAGGCAAGCACTCTACCAACTGAGCTATATCCCCAGCCCTGAAGATTTGTGGTTTTGGTTAATGAGAAAAAAAATCTTTTTTTTTATAAATCCCATATGAACACTAGTTTTATACTATTTCAAGACTGTGCAACTAAATGCTGCTGTTCTTTAGCTAATTAGTTCATGGTGGGAGACTGGTCAGAACAGGGATTGGGCAAAATGTGCAGAGGGAGCTTATGTGAGCCTGGGAAAACACAGGTACAGTCCTTATTAGGTCCAGTATATGAGCTCATCCTCACTGTCTTCATTACTCTAGCATAGAGAAAAGAAGTTTTTGACATTGCAGGATGTAAAATAAAGCTGTCAGAAAATCACACATGTCCTGAGATAAGAGACATGAGGAAGACACACGGGATATTTAGGTCGTAATTTCAGAGAGAAGATAAGGAAAAGAAGCTAAATATTTGGCTTTCGTGTCTACTTCTCTGGCCACCTTGTCTTTTCATATTTCCTAGCAATCACTGTTACTAACTGATAGTGAGGCTAATGACACAAAAAAGTGAATCATCCCTGTACATAGTCTAAAGTTTAAAGAAATGGTTTAACTTTACTATTTTTACAACAACCAGCAGGATATTATATCATATTTAAATGTGGAAACTTCCTTTTTTGAGAGGTGATTTTTGCATATGATGACTTGTAAAGCTTATATTTTTATTTTATTTTTATAGAATGATAATAAGAATATAGTTACTTAGTAAAATTGCTCTGAAGTCATTTTAAAGAAATAATTGACAGAATTTTTAAGGGTTTAGGAAAAAAAAGGAAATCCTTTCAATGGTGACTGAATATACATTCAGTATAACATTTATAGAATATATTTTCATTGAATTTCTAAATCATAATGATAATATGAAAATTAACCAAAAAAGGAGATTAAAGAAAGGCATTTGATACTAAAAGACAGAATTTCTGTAATGTTCCTGGCTAAAGAAATGGTTCTTAAAAATAACATACTCAATTGATAAATCTATCATAAAACTTTTGGCATTTTACACAATAATAATGAAAAACACTTTAAAAATTTCTAATTCCGTTACCATGCTTTTATTGAATAAATATTGTGTAGGGCAATATGCTCTTAAGATAAATGATTAATGGAAAAAATGATGAAATAGTAAATTATAAAGTAACACCTCTGGAATTATATTAGAACTGCAACGATTTTGTTAAATTAACCATATTAGTTGTTAAAAAATAAATGGAAAATGGATTTAAATTGATAGGGCACTTAAAATAAGTGTTATCTAATTTCTTACTGAAGTGGGTAATTATTTTTTATTAATACTTTGCCACCCCATAGAACCATGAATGTATTTACCTAGGGTTTAAAGAATTTGTTTATAAAGCAAAAGATGACCCAAAATAAATACTATGTTCCCCATTTTGCTTTTAAATATGAACTTCAAAACACATATCAGCTCATGCTTTCTAAAATTATCACTTTATTAAATAAATAAATGCACATAAGAAAGTTTCAAAAATGTATTTACTAAGTTTCATAGCCACGTGGGAGGAACAAGCTATTGCATTTTAGCTCTAAGGAGGTCATTCCAAGCTCTGTATAAATAAAAAAGTTAAACACAAATCTAGTAATTATGATATACATCTACTAGGGCAGCAATAAATGCCACAGACAATCTTAGTTATAGAAAAGCTATGGAAAACAATTACCACCATAAAGAAGATTAAGTCCAAAAAAGAGAGTAACTATGTATTTGATATTTGAAGTTCAAGATTGTACCAAGACAATAAAATCACTATGGATACTGTGGACATAAATATATCAGCTGAAAAACAAATAATAGGGTTTTTTTGAGGTTAGGTTTATGTACTTTTTAAACTAGTGACTCTGCTCAAGGTGAAGGAAGATATTTTCAGTATACATCCCTCTGGGAGTCAGAGAATATCTTTAAGAGCACAAAGCTAAAAAATTATCTCACTTTAATGGAACATGAATATATTTAAAAACAGCCCACCATATCCCAGATATTCAATTCAACATGGTAAGTAAATGTGTAGTTTATGTCTCCATTCAGAATACAACTTTATTTACAGATAGAAGTATCCATCTGTATTATAAGATTGAATCTATCTGTGCTTTATATAGAGAGCCTTTATCAATTGTGGCCTATATAAATGTAAAGAAATGGCTTCCTATACTGTTCTACAGACACATTACAGAAACAATGACCCACAAGTGGGTTCATATGAGTGGGTATGATAACCTGGGTGAAACAATATTCTAAACCCAGGCAATGTCAGTGATTGTTGTAGGACTACTTTATGAAGACAAACGTCAGCTAGGACTACTAAGTAGCAGGAAGACCAAACCCAAATGAGTAGTATGCCTGTTCCTTATGTTTCCTCTTTTGACACAGGGGCAGGATGCCCACATTATAGGCTCTATACTAGGTGAGGTCCTCCATGACCAATCTCTATTGGCACTCTCTACTCCTCTCTCTGCACTAGCTAATCTTCTCTTTCATTTCACTCCATGCATCACTGCATGGAGTAAGCTCTATGATGACTATGATTTTTGTTCAATTTACAGTATGTAAGAAGAACAAGTCCAAGTACTTAGTGCCTCATAAAGATGTATTAAATGAAAAAAAGAAAGAAAAAATGAATGAATGTAAAGGATGAGGAAAGTCACCAAGAAATATAAGAGAATGAGGAAAGTCTATGAGAAAACTTTCCTTAAGATAATGACTTTGAATAAGCAAGGGAAAGAAAAAAGGACACTTTTGTTTGGGATCAGCAACTACGTAAGTTACTGCACTGGCTCTGGTAGTTTGCATTAGCTCTCCACCCTCAGTCAGCAGCATCTATGCCAATTTCAGAGCAGGCAACCTGGCAACAGCAGAGATAGCTCCACATTCTGATGCTTTCATCTACTAATTATGCATATTTCACTCTCAATTTCCTCATCTGTAGAAAGGGAGCAAGTGTATCTATATTCAATAGTAACTAGCATATAATAGATGCTTGATAAATAAAATACTCTACTGTTAATGAGCCCTTAAATAGTTTGAAAAATCAGAAAATATTTTGATATAATTTAACTGGTTATGATAAGTTCTATCATGGCAATGATGTTAGACAGCATAATTACTTAAGGAGCAGGAGAGGGATTAGCAATAGATTTAGCACTTAAGCTGGGTCTGAATATCAAAACAGAATTCATTAAAGAGAGTGTGCTTTTTTAAATTTAAATTTTATTTTTTAAAGAGAAAGGTTATTTAATTTCACAGTTTCAGAGGGTCTAGTCCATGATCAATTGGTTCTGTTGCTTTGAGCATGCAATGAGGTTGCATATGATGGTAGGGAGCACATGGTGGAGCAATCTGCTTACCACAAGGTAGCTTGCAAGTGAAAAAAAAAGAGACAGAATGTTTCAATATTCCCTTCAAGGGTATGCCCCATGACCTATATTTCTTCACTAGTTCCTACCTCTCAAGGGTTCTACCACCTCACAGTAGCACCATGGGCTAGGGACCAGGCCTTTAACATATGGGCCTTTGGTGAAGAGAATGTACTTTTGACAGGAACACATCCTTTGGACTCCAGACTGACTGACTGACTCAAGTCTGCTATCCTAAAAAACACATGGTGCTGATAAAACCCGAGCTCTACTGAGTTTGAAATAGTTACAGAAATGCTTAGTAAACCATCAAGAGATGTATGTATGATGTGATAGCTAGGGTGGCCCCTATCAGGGTAAATATAATGAGTGTCATAAAGATTTGAGTAAGAAACACCCAAAATGACAAAATTGCTGATTTGGGGGAATGTGGTAGTTTTTAAACATTTAGAGAATCAGCATCTATTTTGAAAATAAATCTCTAGGACTCAGAAATAATTCAATAATTGTTATGGCTCAGATAATAAGCATTCCCCAAAAGCTCATGTGTTAGTGCAAGAAGGCTCAGGGATGAAATGATTAGATGATGAGAGTTATACCCAATCATTGGATTAAGTGGATGATAACTGAAGGCAGGTAGGGTGTGGCTAGAAGAGATAAGTCACTAGGGGCATACTTTGGGGTTTATATTTTGTCCTTGGTGAATGGGGAACTAGGGAACTCACTCTCTCTCTCTCTCTCTCTCTCTCTCTCTCTCCCCCCTTCCTGATTGCTATTTCCTGAGATATTTTCCTTTTCCACACCCTTCATCCATGATGTTCTGCCTCATCTTGGGTTCAGAACAGCAGAGTCAGTCATCTACAGATGACCTCAGAAACTATGAGTGCCAAATAAAACTTTCCTCCTCTAAAATTGTTCTTGTCAGGTATTTTGGTCACAGCAGTGAAATATCTGTATAAAACAACCAGTTTTATTGAGAATTTTAAACAGAACCACTTCTTTCAGTCAACTGCAAAATAAAATCAGTGAGCTGAGTTGTTAAGTCTCATCAAACCACTGGTCCTAACACTACCTACTGTAGAACATTTGGCCATTAAGAATAGGACTAAACATTCCATGTGCCTGCTGGTTGTATACAAAGATGGCACGGAAAAACAGAAGTAATCAAGGCACAAAAGGAAGTAAAATCAATAGATATTTCAGGACACTAGCAAAGGAAGAAAAGCATGTCCAATTTAAACACCTAATTTCCTAAGTAATTAAAAATGATCTGTTTGGCAAACATGGGCTGTGCACAAAGAATTTCAGAACTACATCTGTTGCAAAAAGCTGGGCTCGTCATTCCATATTTCTGGCACATCCCCAAATTCTCCTGTTAATGTAGGAGAT